TTCATGAATGGTTATTATCTCAGCATGATTTGAAGATGTGGCAACTATTGTTTGTTTCATTGAACAACATGATATAGTTGTACCTCCATATGTAAACAAATATCCTGTTTGAGATCGGGCTTTATGTGGATCAGACAAATAACCTGCATCGGCACAGCCAATCATTTCTGACTTGAATTCATTAGAATAAAACAATCCCATATATATAGTTCCCCGAAGATATCTAAATATATGCTTAACACCATTCCAATGTCTTCTTGTTAGGGAGGTGTTGAATCTTGTTAATAAGCTTATTGCAAAAGCAATATCTGGTCGGGTATTGTTGACAAGATACATCAGTGCCCCAATTGCACTAAGATATGGAGTTCCATCACCAACGAGCTCTTCATCATTTTCTTGAGGCTGAAATGGATCTTTATTTATATCAAGTGATCTCACAACCATTGGGATACTCAATGGATGTGCATTATCAGTGTAAAATTGCTTTAAAACCTTTTCAGTGTATGTTGATTGATGGACAAAAATTCCATTTGGTACATGCTCAATTTGTAGGCCAAGACAAAATTTTGTCTTACCAAGATCTTTCATTTCAAATTCTTTCTTCAAACATTCTACAGCATTTGAAAGCTCTTTAGAAGTGCCAATGATATTCAAGTCATCAACATACACAGCTATGATGACAAATTCAGATCCAGACCTCTTAATAAAGACACAAGGGCAAATAAGGTCACTTTTGTATCCTTCCTTTAGCAAATACTCGCTAAGACGATTGTACCACTCCTCCCTGATTGCTTCAATCCGTATAAGGATTTCTGAAGCTTTATTGAACAAGTTTCTGTTGAACTTTTACGTGCTTCAGGAACTTTAAATCCTTCAGGGATTTTCATAAAAATTTCATTGTCTAGTGAGCCATATAAGTAGGTTGTGACAACATCCATCAACCGCATATCAAGCTTTTCATGGACTGCAAGATTTATTAAATACCTGAAGGTAATTGCATCTACCATAGGAGAATATGTCTCCATATGATCAATGCCAGGCCTTTGCGAAAATCCTTTGTGCCACAAGTCGTGCTTTATATCTTACGGCTTCGCCTTTTTCATTTTGTTTTCACACAAAAACCCATTTGTACCCAACTGGCTGGACACCTTCAAGCGTTTGGACTATTGGTCCGAAAACTTCACGTTTTTCGAGTGAAGCCAATTCCGCTTGGATTGCATTTTTCCATTTTGGCCAATCATTTCTCTGTCTACATTCATCGACAGATTTTGGCTCAAGATCCTCTTCTTGTTGCATTATTTCAATTGCAACATTATATGCAAAATTGTTGTTAACAATAACATTATTTCGGTTCCACCTTTTTCCCGTAGAGATATAACTTATTGAGATCTCTTCATTTTCATCATTTCCAAGTACTAGAACATCCTGTGAGGTCTTATCAATTACTATGTCTTTATGCTCCTCTTGAGCAATTGCCTCCATGTTATGATCAACTTGATCATTTGCTCCTTTCCTTTTTTCGGGGATTCTTATCCTTGGAATCGATTGGTCTACCACGTTTAAGGCGTGGCCTAGACTCATTTGCATTATCATACTGTTCAACTGAGACATCAACTCGAATTGGAGAATTTATAGCTGGAATATGCGATTTAGTAACCCGTGGAAGGTTAGTAAATGTATCTGGCAATTGATTTGCAATATTTTGCATATAAATGATCTTTTGAACTTCTTATTCACATTGATTTGTACGAGGATCCAAATGAGATAGAGATAATACGTTTCAATCTATCTCTTTTTCCAACTGTTTATTTTCTCCCCCTAATGTTGGAAAAATTGTATCATCAAAATGACAATCAACAAATCTGGCTGTAAACAAATCTCCTGTCATAGGCTCTAGATATTTAATAATAGAAGGAGATTCATAACCAACATATACTTCCAACCTTCTTTGGGGACCCATCTTTGTGCGCACATCCAAAAATTCTTAGATAAATATTTGGCTCCTGACCAAAAGTCAACTGTAGTGGGGAGACTTCATGATAACTGGTTGGCCTTATGCGCACAAGTGCTGCTGCATGCAAAATAGCATGTCCCCACACTGAAAGGGGAAGTTTTGTCCTCATTAGCAATGGTCTAGATATTAATTGGAGGCGTTTAATCAATGATTCTGCTAAACTATTTTGAGTATGAACATGAGCAACCGGATGTCAACTTTTATTCCAGTGGCCATACAATAATCAATAAAGGCCTGAGATGTAAATTTACCACATTATCAAGATGAATTGTCTTAATTGCATAATCTGAAAATTGTGCTCTTAACCTTATTGTTTGGGTCAACAATCTCGCAAATGCCATATTACAAGTGGACAATAAGCACACATGTGACCATCTTGTAGATGTGTCTATCAAGACCATGAAATACTTGAATGGTCCACATGAAGGGTGTATATGCCCACATATATCACCCTGTATACGTTCCAGAAATGCAGGGGATTCAATCCCAACTTTAGCTGCTGGTGGTTTAATAACCAATTTTTCTTGAGAACAAGTAGCACAAGAGAATTCTTTAAATTGAAGAGTCTTTTTGTTCTTCAATGTGTGCCCATTTGAATTCTCTATTATTCTATGCATCATGTTAGAACCGGGATTGTCCGACTGGTCATACCAAATGATAAAATCATTAGAAGTAGTAAACCTTTTGTTTACAATGGCATGTGATTCAACCACACCAATGTTTGTGTGGTACAACCCAGAAGAAAATGCGGGTAATTTTTCGTGCACATATTTTTCCCCCGCTTTTATTGTAGTAATATAAAGGTATTCAACCTTTCCTTCGTTTGATGTCTTAATATGGTAGCCATTTTGGCGAATAGCTTTGAAACTCAACAAGTTTCTTTGAGACTTACTACAATACAATACATTACTAATAGTTAATATCGTCCCTCCAGGTAGTAATAAGGCCGCTCTTCCAGAGCCCTCAATAAACTTTGTACTACCAGATATTGTATTAACATAGGCCTTTTCATAACCAAATAAGAGAAAAATTTCTTTTCTCTTAATATTGTGTGTATCACTATCCAAAAGACATAAATCTTCATTACTCATCTTGGATCCCATTGAAGACTGGGGAATTTTAATTTCTGAACAACGAAAAGAGCTCAACTTTGTGCTGATAACATGTTAAGAAATGTAGCTCAAAGTAACAATATAAAACAAGAAGATAAATAGAATAAGAGAAGAATAGATAACTTTCTTATTTCATCAAGTGTTCAAGTGTGTTCCATCTCACATTTCATGCCTCTATTTATACTATTGCATATGAAGGTTACAAAATGATTGTCTTAAACATGACATTAACAATTGAGATCATGGGAGGGGTTATGGAGGCGTGGGAGTTACAATCATAATGGTGATGAGTAATGGGAGGTTATTTATATCATGGGTGAAAGTAGTGGGAGTAGTGGACATCCACATTTACTAAAGATTTTATAACACCTTCAAATTTTTTGTTTTTTGTTTTTTTGTAATCTACAGTACCCAATTTGGAAACCGCTCTAATGTCTCAATGAATCCTCTTGAGATTAGGTGGGGTACATAGGAATTCTGGACATGAATAAGTAGGCGTTTGGACATAAGACAATTGTAAAATTTCAAAAAATGGTGAAATTTTTTTTCAAGTGAAAATGATATTTAAAATTTAGAGTTGTGTTTGGACATAAATTTCAGTTTGGGTTGTTTTTGGAGTTTTGTGAGTGATTTGAGTGAAATTTTTGAAAAACAACTTTTTGGAGTTTTTCAAATTTTCGAAAATTTCCAAAATATATTTTCGAGTGAAAATTAGAAATTTTATGAACAAACACGGATTTCGAAAAAGGTAAAAAAAAATTGAAAAAAAAGCTTTATGTCCAAACAGGCTCTAAAATAAAACCAAACATAACCTAAATTTAACAAATGTTGTCATATAGTAATCCAAAAATGTAAGGGCAAACAGGTATTAGTGCATTTATTAGTTATCCAAATCTTTTATCTTTATCCAAATCCTTTCCAAATACTCATGGAAGAATCTTAAAACAAAGGATGGGACAATCATACTTAAATTGTTTTAAGCTTTTCAGTGTTAAGGTAAAGATAGTAACTTTGTCATTGATGTTTGCAAAAACTGAACTTTACTTAATTTTAATGCAAAAGTTACTGCTGACAATCAGAATCCAACATCTCAAATCCTCCCTAATCATTCCAATCTGACAAGACATTTTTCCTTCACGTAATTGGCACGTGTTCTACACTCTCTTCCCTATACGCGTTTAATTCACCACCCTCACCTCTATAAAAGTATTTTATTCTACTCCTTATTTAAATTATAAACTCATATAAAGACTCGTCCAGAATTTATCTTTTTTTCGCTGAGGAACGTAACATTTTATTGGAAAACCGGAAATTAGCAAAGTGCATTAGAAGGAACTAAGCGCTGAGACTCCGTTCCTATTATATAAAAATCAAAATTTAATAGTTCATTTTATTCGTTGTCATATTAAATCTTGTTATAAAGACGTCTTATTGTATAAACCTAATTTATCAGTCTAAAATATTTATACTCCAACAATAATACGAACTTAAGAACATGGATAAATGTCTCTGAAGTACCAACTTCATCCGGTTCTAATATTTTTAAAACGAAATATAAATATGTAGAAATTTACTAATAATCTCAGCTAATATTAAATCTGAATTACTAAATTGATATTTATTTTTTTTATTTTAAAATGGACGAAGAGAGTTGATGAGTTAGGAGGTTTTAAGAATCTTAACTAGAACTAATCAAAGTTCCATCTTCTTTTTGATGTTTTTGATTTAAAATATTCGTGATCATCCCCCATTCTTTCCATATACTTTTTGTCGTTATTAATGCAATGATGAAATGCAAATAAAATGAACTCCACATTCACATGAAATGCAAGTCGAGTTCCCCATTTCCCAATCATATCTTATATATACACTTCCTCCTTTCGAAGCTGACTCTACGTTATTTTTAGCTTTTTTTCCCACCATGGAGCTATAACATTAAATTACTAAGACACAGATACAACTGTTTTTTCTTTTCATTTTCTTAGTTGGGTCGCCGGAACATCAAGATTCCGGTAACCCTCTGAAGGAAAGGAATCATTTTGTATATACATAGAGTTCTTTCCTGTCGCCGGGAAATAAACAAAGGTGATGATAAATGGCAAAGGGTCGGAAACTGACCAATAGTAGAAGCGAAATGTTATTAGGAAACTACAGCTACAGAAATGGAAGTGAAACAGTCAATGGTTCCTCAGAACTAGGAGAAGATGATGTCTGGTCAACGATTGATGACATGGTCAACGGGAATGATCACGGCTCCAGGGGCGAGTGGAGTCCACGCGCCACCGCAGATAGTAACGGTAGCTTTGGTGGATTTGTCAGCCGCAAGCAGCCAGTCCCAAGAGCTGACCACCACAGCCGCCGTCGTCAGGTGGGGGGCTTGTCATTGGCGTTTGATGATTCAGGTAAAATGGCATCTTCTCGGATCTTGCACCAGTTTCGCGGACAAGACGCGCCATCCCCACGTGCATGCCACATGGCCACCTCGGCCCCAGTGAATGTCCCTGATTGGTCCAAGATATACCGAGTTAACTCAGTCGAGTCATTGCACGACTCGGATGGAGGCGTCGACGATCACGACTCGGAGATGGTTCCGCCGCACGAATACCTTGCTAGGAGCCGAAACTCGGCATCCCACTCGGTGTTTGAAGGCGTTGGACGAACGTTAAAGGGTCGAGATTTGAGTCGGGTCCGAGATGCTGTATGGAGTCAGACCGGGTTTGATGGCTGAGTTCATCAATGAATTAGTAATTGATTTTGATTAAACAGTTCTATAAGTAGTAGCTGTTGGAGAAAAAAGAGGCAATTTGCTAGATAAATTTTTGGTCCTTGGGCAATGATTCAGGTTGAATGAATACAAACTCAGTGAGTCAATCAGCTGGGATTGAGTCCAAGTTTAATTAATCTATTGTTTTTTCTTATTACTTTTTATTGATATAATCCCTCTATTTGATATGTACTTTTACTATGGTGGATTTTAGCAAAATGTTCTTTTGTCATTTTCAGACGTCAAATATGGTGAAATATTGAGTGCAAAGGATGTTGTCCCACTGAATAGTGACCGGATAAAGCTAATAAATTTCAGGTCTTCATCACCCCATCTATTAGTCCCACAAAGTTGCTGCAATTGGTTTATGGTTACTATTCGAATATCAGTAACTATTTCATAATTTCTGTATTGTAAACTATTTTTCTTAGATATGTAAAGAAGAAAACCATAAGAATCTTAATATGAAAAAAAATTAATCCCTCCATTTCAAATTAGATGAGGTATTTTCCTTTTTAGACTATTCCAAAATAAATGACACATTTCTAAATTTGGAAATAATTCAACTTTAAACTCTTCATTTTACCTATTTACCCTTAATGAGAAGCTTTTATAACCACACATATATCATGGCACCACAAAAACTTTTATCCCTTAAGCTTTAAAACCACAAGTTTCGAAAGTCTTTTTTTTTTGTTAAACTCCGTGCATAGTCAAACTAAACTACCTCCTCTAAATTTAAATTGAAACGGAGGGAGTATAAATTATGAGAAGGAAGAGAGACTTGATGAATGGAATGAATTCCACATCGGACTGGAATCTTATAAGACTTAGAAAATCCTCCTCTTTATGAGCTAGCTTTTGTAGTATGTTTTGACAAGACTCAAAGTTTATAATACGTGTATAATGAAATTGATAAATAAAAAGGTTCGATTTTTATAACAACTTTTGAATGAAAATATGAAATTGATTAATTAGTTTCCCTTGTCAAATGTTTGTGATACCTCTCTATGTATAAAAAGGTTAATCTGCTATTTGCTTAAACAAGTGATATATAGGTAGAACGTCCTCGTCATTTGGTTTAGATGTTGACGTAAGATTCCAAGTCCTTTGGAGGGAAACGCTTGGATTTTTTCTTTTGCTTTTTAATATTTCATTACCCATGCCTAGGCTGTTGGGTTGCTACTCTTTTATTTCAAGCTTGAGTTTTGTTTGTTTATGTTGAAGTCAATTATACTTAACGAAAATTAGTTAACTTTGCCTTTCAGAGTTGCGCTAGGTAAACCATCAGCATAATTAGACAACCATATTGAAGGCTTAAGGCAAAAATTAAGATTATATTATATTTCCTTAGAGATATGATCATTAGCCATGTACAAAGAAATTTAAGTAACAAGATCACAAAAATCTCTAGCTTTTAATTAGACAACCATTTTGAAAGCTTAAGGCAATAAAAGGGCAAGAATTGAAAAGGAGACTTTAGAGCCCGTTTCACCATGAGATTTTTTTCACTTTTTTCCGAAATTAATGTTTAGCCATAAAATTTTTAATTTTCACTTGAAGATAAATTTTGGAATTTTTTGAAAATTTAAAAAACTCCAAAATACTGTTTTTCAAAATTTTTACTCAGATCACTCATAAAAATTCAAAACAACCCAAAATTATATTCATGTCCAAACACAACTTTAATTTTCAAATACAATTTTCACTTGAACCTTTTTTTTTTCTTCGTTTTTTTGGAATTTTACAATTCTTATGTCCAAACGCCCACTAAACAAGGAATAGTTGAAGATCCTAGAGGTATTTTTCCACAACATACAAAGAACGGAGATTGAAGGTTCTCGAAAAAACGAAAAGATGGAAGATTAGAGAAGAGGAAATAAGAACCGAGAGAATTGAATTCGCACATATTTTTCTAAAATACTTTCAAAAGCTAGAATATCTTAAAAAAAGATATTAAAAAAAAAAGGAATGGAGACAACTAATTGTGGGGGCCTAAATCCAGAGACCAGAATTTTGGGATCCAATTACTTTTTGGAGAAGATGATAGATAGGATTCTAGCGCCACAATCAAACATAAACCATTAATATCTTTTTATATAGGAAGAATTGGTCTAACAACAAATGCAAGATTTATACTAGAAAGAAATACAAAACAAAAATAAAAGTATGAAGCCGTGACAGCTAAAAAATCAATTTGTGTTATTTTTAATACAGTATATTTTTGAAATTGTATTGAGAAATACAAATGGGGAAAGAAAGGCCAGAAATAAGTGAGAAGATACCCTTCTGCTATGCCTTTTTAAAGAAAGGGACATGAGTCAATTCAATGGGCTCACGAGTGTTGTGAGCCACTGGTTTTTCTTCTTTTCTGTTCTGTCATCAGCCCAAAAGAGTGATTTTTTTGGATATCAGTTGGGACCCACAGGTCAAGATAGGTGTCATATATTTCCAATATTAAAAAGAGTATAACTTGTGAATTTGCAATATAATTTTTTTACCTCCTGTCTATGCCGGGTTCGCCTACTATTGACTCAAAGCCCGCATAAATAAGAATATTGTAAACACTTCATGTGACTAAATTTACAAGTGATCATTTAAAAATAGTCACAATTTCAAAAGTAATCGTAATTTAGCCACTTTTCATGTAAAAATAAATTTGAATGATAACATTATTCAAAATTCGGAAAATACTCCAGTATAATATACTGGTCCAGCATAATATGCTGGAAGTTCATACACATGTGCTCCAATCTCCAGTATATTATGCTGGAACTTTCCGCGTGTTGGAGTTCCAGCGTAATATGCCGATAATATGTTGGAGTTCCAGCATAATATGTTGGAGTTTCAGCATAATATATTGGAGTTCCAGCATAATATGCTGGAAGTTCATACACATGTGCAGTGATCTCCAGTATATTATGCTGGAACTTTCCGTGTTGCAGCAAAAATAGTGACCATGTTTCAATGACTTTACAAACGCTGACTATTTTTCAATGAGCAGTCCGAAAACTTGCTAGCCCGTGCTATTTTTACAGTAAATTTTTACCTCATAAGGACCAAATCGAACGAAACGAATATAAAAGAATCCGTATATCCTATTCAACTAGTTCAAGAAAAAGAAATAGTTGATTGATTGAAAACATAACAACAACGTATTTAAAAACCCTACTATAGATGGGCTTAAACTATATTAAAGTGAACAAAGGTTGATAAATGCCAAAAAAATCAGCAGTTTGTTAAAGTTGATTAAGTTAGAGTAACGTTATTAGAATGTTAGTGGATGTATGAAAACCATATATTATACATCTATTAGTGGTTATATTTTGTGGTGGATGTGCCACCAGACTAGAGGAATCGTTCATTTTGGTGAAGATGAAGCATTCAAACCCCACTATACGTTACTATGAATGAGCAATTTCTATCACAATTTTCTAAATAAATGCAATAGCCAAAGATGAACCAAAAGTTGTGAATGTCCTTGACATGGTTGAAAAGCTGCAGCAGTTCCTTATTGTAAAGAGATAAAATTAATTACTCCACTCCCTATCAGTGGCAATGCATTTCATTTGTTGGAGGCATGTGGCACGTAATACGAGAAGGAAAAAAGACCAACAAGCTGTGACCACAAAGTTTGATATGATATTTCACCATCGAGGCATTTGTTGAGAAATTGATTTATGAATGTATCTTCTTGGATGACGTCCGCCAATAATGATAAAATTCTTTTACTACTGAAATTTAGGCGTTTGGGTTTTAGTTTGGTTTAATTTTTTGAACAAAATAATTTCACAAAAATTTGTATATGTAGCGTTGCTTATTTTTCATTTGTGCTGGTTAACTATGTGTGTTGTAATATGTACTAAGTCTAACGAGCAATTAAAACCACGTCATTCGCAACCAAGTTGGACGATGTGATGTTCGTGATGGAAGGCGGATTGACGAGGGCAATACAAGTAGAACTTATATGTTTTTAGGCTAGTAAGTTTCTGAAGAAGTGATGCACATATCACCTTAAGCGAATCTAAAAATCAGGATGAAAGAGGAAAGTGAATAGTTTTATAAGCTATAACACAAGTTCATATGGTACGCATACCTTTGGAATCGATGATGGCATAGCCAGAAGGATAAATTTGGGGTGAAGTACACAAATAGCCCTCAAGATAGATGGTCTTGACTTTTTGTCCCTACTATTCCCGTGACAGAACTTCAACTTTAATAGGTGTTGCCACTCCTTGTCTCATGGACAACATTTTTAGCTTTTGACCTGAAGTTCTGTCTATGGAGCAACTAGGATGTCAAATATTAAAGACTAACCCAAAAAATGTTACATTTTTGTAAATTTTTGACAAATTTGTTAGGTCTATTTGGCCAAAGCGGACGATACATGTTATGAATTTCGGTCGTGACAGACGATTCATATGAATTTTCTTAGTTTTTTCTCTTTGTAAGCAAATTAAAGGCAGGTCATTCACACCCAAATTAGGCAGTTTATAGGAATAATATTCAATACTTAGGTACATGTGGACGTAGATATACAAACCTTCAAATGTAAGTAACAGTATTTTACTTGGAGTTATCGTTTTAAAAGAATGGATTTTCTTGTTTTGTTTTGTTTCCCGAAGGAATAGCGGGTATTATATGTCGGTTATTGTCAAGTGAAAATTGTACGGGTTAACTAGTTTTTGGAGTGGTAATTGAAAAATAGTTACTATTTTGTTGTAACACGAAAAATTCCAGCATAATATACTAGGGATTGGTGCACCTCTGTATGAACTTCCAACATATTATGCTGGAACTCCAACACACGAAAAGTTCCAGCATAATATACTGAAGATTGGAACACATGTGTATGAACTTCCAGCATATTATGTTGGACCAGTATGTTGTGCTGGAACTCTAGTATATTATGCTGGAATATTTTTGGATTTTGAACAGTATTTTTGTTCAGATTTATCTTTACATAAAAAGTTTCGATTACTTTTGAAAATGTAGCTATTTTTCAATTACCACTTGTAAATCTGGCTATTGTTTAATTTCACCCTATTGTCAATGGCCCAAGAAAAGTGATTCGCTTGCATCGTAAAAATTACACGGGGCGCCCTATTTGGTCGCCCCCATTTAACCTATACCCATTTTTTTTAAAAAGTTTTAACTTGTACCCACTTTTTAAATAACTTCAGCTCCCTTTCTCCCCCTCCTTCTCCTCCTTCGTTTTCTTCTTCTTATTATTCTTCTTTCTTCTGTTGTTGTTGGTGCTGCTATGAAACTTCAGTTTCATGGATGATTGCCATAAGTATGTTTATCAGATTGTTTAAAAACAAATTATA